ACACACACACACACACTACATGTCTTTGGTTTGTGGATGAAGCTGGAGAACCCAGAGAAAACCCTGCAGACAGGAGGAGAACATCCTCCTCACAGAGAGGCTGCACTAACAGTGTTGACCACTACAACACCATACTGCCCACAAGAAGGAGAATCATTAAACACTGTGTGTATTTGACTCATCTACACTGATTGAACATGTTATTGATCATGTCTGGACTCACAGAGCCTTCCTGCAGTTCCTCACAGCTGGGATCAGTCTCTGTCGACCCTGGTTTGATGTGTTGAACTTCTTCAGGTTGAACTCATCCAGAACCTCCTCTGACATCTGCAGCATGTAGGCCAGAGCTGAGCAGTGGATCTCAGAGAGTTTCTCCTTTGATTTGTTCTCTGATGTCAGGAACTGTTGCATCTGCTGATGTACTGAGTGGTCGTTCATCTCAGTCAGACAGTGGAAGATGTTGATGCTTCTGTCAGGAGAAATGTCATCAGTCTTAATCTTCTTCAGGTTGTTGATTATTCCCTGGATGACCTCTGGATTGTTCTCTGTCCGACCCAACAGGCCTCCTAAGACTCTCTGGTTGGACTCCAGACTGAGGCCGTGAAGGAAGCGAACAAACAGGTCCAGATGACCATTTTTACTGTTGAGGGATTTCTCCATGGTTCTCTTCATGAGGTCATCCAGGGTACCGTCTGTGTTCCCATATGTTCCCAAGAAGTTGTTGAGTTCTTCTCTGTTCCTCTTGGTGTAACAGTAGAACATGTAGACTGCAGCCAGAAACTCCTGAACGCTCAGATGTACAAAGCAGTAGACTGATTTCTGGAAGATCACACACTCTCTTCTGAAYATCTCAGTACAAACTCCTGAGTACACCGAGGCCTCTGTGACATTAAGACCACACTGCTCCAGGTCTTCTTGGTAGAACATGTTTCCTTCCTCTAGATGTTTAAGAGCCAGCCTCCCCAGCTTCAGAAGAACATCCCTGTCATCCTCCGTCAGCTGCTGTAGACTCGTCTCATGTCCCCCATTGTACTTGTTGTTCTTCCTCTTTGTCTGAACCAGCAGGAAGTGTGAGTACAGGTCAGTCAGGGTCTTGGGCAGCTCTCCTCCCTGGTCTGTGGTCAACATGTSCTCCAGAACTGTAGCACTGATCCAGCAGAAGACTGGGATTTGACACATGATGTGGAGGCTCCTGGACGTCTTGATGTGTGAGATGATTCTGCTGCTCAGCTCCTTATCACTGAATCTCCTCCTGAAGTACTCCTCTTTCTGGGCTTCAGTGAAGCCTCGTACTTCTGTCATCCTGTCAACACATGTAGGAGGGATCTGATTGACCGCCGCAGGTCGGGAGGTTATCCAGACGAGAGCCGAGGAAAGCAAATTCCCCTGGATGAGGTTTGTCAGCAGCACGTTGACTGATGAGCTCTGTGTGACATCAGACACGACCTTCGTGTTGTTGAAGTCCAGAGAAAACCTGCTTTCATCCAGGCCGTCAAAGATGAACAAAGGTTTACAGACAGCGAGTGTCTCTGCTGTGAGCTTCTGTAATGATGGATGGAAAACACGGAGCAGCGTGAGAAGACTGTGCTGCTCGTCTTTCACCAGGTTCAGCTCCCTGAACGAAAGCACAACCAGCAGACCCACATCTTGGTTTTCTAAACCCTCTGCCCAGTCCAGAGTGAACTTCTGCACCGAGAAGGTTTTTCCAACGCCAGCGACGCCGCAGGTCAGGACGACTCTGATGCTGCTCTGCTGGTCAGTGAAGGCTTTAAAGATGTCGTGGCACTTGATGGGAGTGTCGTGGAGTCTCTTCATCTTGGAAGCCGTCTCAAGCTGCCTCACCTCATGTTCAGTATTAACCTCTTCACTCTGTCCCTCTGTGATGTAGAGCTCAGTGTAGATCCMGTTGAGGAGGGTTCTACTTCCTGTTTCTTCAGTTCCTTCAGTCACATGTTCACATCTCCTCCTCAGACTGGTCTTATGTTGGCCTAAACCCTCCTGCAGATCTGCTGAAAGACAAGAAACAATGTCAGAGACAGAGAATGTGAGAATCTGCTGATTGTTTTCATCAGATACAGAAAAACTACAGAAAATAAAAGCTTTTGAAGTTAAATGTTGATGCTGTATGAAGGAACAAAATCAAACATGTGCTGTTGTCAGAAGTGAAGACATCAGCAGACATATGTACAGTGCTGCTCTGACCGGCTGTCTGAGCTCCAGCTCCTCTTCTGGATCTTTGTCCACACTGGGGACAGGAGGAGTCTCCTGAAGAACCAGACTGGTCCCAGTATGAGGTGATGCACTGTCTGCAGAACCAGTGTCCACAGCTGGTGGAGACTGGATCCTTCAGGACGTCCTGACACGAAGCACAGCAGGACGACTGCTCCTCCTCAGAAACATGACTCCTCCTCTTTCTGTGAAGACATTTCCTGATAACTCAAATGTCACATTCACAGGTCGTCATCACTTCTTTCAAGGAGGTTTTGTTTTCACCCTGTATGGTTGTGTGTTGGTTGGTTGGTTCGTTAGTGGAATTATAAAAACCACTGAACAGATRACCAGTAAACTTGGTGAAGGATGTGTTCTGTGAACCAGATGTTCAGAGGATTGATGTTTGAGTGAAATGTATCTAGTGAATTTCAAAGTGGTTTCATAAGGAGCGTGTTGGGCCTTGGTGGAGGTCTGAGCTCTTTGAGGGATTCTGAGAGATTAGTCACCAATTTCAATGAAGCTGTGTCCTAATGCAGGGGCCACACTAGAGGAAACTAAATGCTCTTCAGATCAGTTCACAGTAGAAACAGTCTCTTACTTTTTGTGTGAGGGTCCAGGTTCATTACTGAACAATAGAGGAATATCTTTGGACTGGTTACTCTTCAGAGACACACAGCTGAACTCTGGAGACTCTGCTCTCAGTCTGTGCCCCTTACCTCTGCAAARACAATGTTTTCATTCAGAACTCATCATTCACTGATTCATTCTCTGAGGATTCAGTTTGGAGGTTCACATGTTTGTAGCAGGTCTCTTACTTTGTGTGTGAGGGTCCAGGTTCATTACTGAAGAATAGAGGAGGTTCTTTGGATTGGTTACTCTTCAGAGACACACAGCTGAACTCCGGAGACTCTGCTCTGTCCTCTTCCTCCAAATAACCACTCATCTTCAGTCTGAGAGGAAAAACACTGTGATGTCAAACACACAATGAAGCCAGGTACATAGATTCAGTGTTTCTTCAAATATCATAAATGAACTAGACGATTGTCTAGAGCGGCACTTTGGCAGGGCGGCCAAATGTGAAGAGCTGAGGAACGTGTCAATCAAGCTGCAGCCGCCTCTTTCACTGCCTCCTGCCCCCAGCTCTCAAGAGCCAGTGGTCGATTCAAACTTTATTTAACTTTATCAGAGATTTTCCTCAAATCCATTGAAGGTTTGTTAGTGGAATTATAAAAACCACTGAACAGATRACCAGTAAACTTGGTGAAGGATGTGTTCTGTGAACCAGATGTTCAGAGGATTGATGTTTGAG